GCTGGCTCGCAACAGCTGCCTGCGCCTTCATGTGCGGCCCATTGTCAAGCCCGACTCCCAGGCCGCCATGGCAGGTTCGCCATCACAACGCGACCAAGCTATTGACCCAAATGAAGCCAGCTGAAGCCCACCGCAGTCGCGCCCCGCCAAGGTCGCGCTTCCAGCTTCCGACCCGCCACTTGGACATCGAAGGCGACATTTACAAGGCACTTGCTGCCGTCGCCTTGGCTGCCGAGCTCCGACTACCCGACGCCATCTTTCCCAAGTACGCCGTTTTCGTCGACCAAGTGATGTGCCGTCAAGTTCCACGCTCATTTGCACTGACTCGGCCGACCTAGTGTACCTCTTTTGCCCCGAGCACGAGACGTACCACCACTTCCTCGTCGACTGTAGCTTTATCAAGGACGTGGGGAGCTTGCCGACAGCGCTCTCGGGCTACCTCTACTCGACGCCTACGACCGCCTCCAACATGCAACGAGCCGTGTTCCGCTACCGCTGGCCAGTGCTCCGCGCCTGCGTCTGGTTCAACGTCTGGCGCGTCCGGAACGATCGCGTCTTTCGCGCCGACCTCCCACTGCCAAGTTAGCAATTGCCGTCAAGGCGGCGCGTGTCTCAACTGCACTTGCACCACAGCCCCGTAAAAGAGCTAAAGCAACCTGCTCTTCGTTGGCTCCTCGCACAACCAAGTGGCTGCGCCAACGCGCGCTCCTGCCTCCGTCTGCCTAGATCTAGATTCTCTACCGAGTGTTTACAACAAAGAAAGTCCGACAATTTTATCAAGAGTCAATTTATCCATTTCAACAACACACAAATTAGCCAAAACGTTGATGGATTATGCAGCTTGAAGGTATTATCGACTCAATGTCATGGCATCGGCCGCTACAGCGGCGTCCAGCGGCATTAAGCACGGCGTAAACGCGAAGACGACCGGCTGCCCGAGACGGCTGTCGCACTCCAGATCTTGTTTTCAAGTTTGCTCTTGAGGTAGCAAAAGCCGTCGTTGATCGTGAAGCCGGCACATCCACCCGTTGCCGAGCACTTATCGCAGCAAAATCGGGCTTGGTTGTTGACATCACCACTCACCGGGTGCCGGGTGAGGTCGTTGCCGTAGTAGTCGGTGTTGGCCTCGGTCGTGCCGCACGATCCACTGGCCCGGCTGCCCGAAACGGCCGTCGAGCTCCAGTTCTTGTTTTCAAGCTTGCTCTTGAGGTAGCAAAAGCCGCCGTTGATCGTGTATCCGGCGCAGCCGTTCGTTGCCGAGCACTTGTCGCAACAATAGCTGGCTTGGAAGTTGGCGTCACCACTCACCGGGTGCCGGGTGAGGTCGTTGCCGTAGTAGTCGGTGTTGGCCTGCGCCGCGCCGCACGATCCACTGGACCGGCTGCCCGAGACAGCCGTCGAGCTCCAGTTCTTGTTTTCGAGCTTGCTCTTGAGGTAGCAGAAGCCGCCGTTGATCGTGAAGCCGGCACAGCCGCTCGTTGCCGAGCACTTGTCGCAGCAAATGCTCACCTGGCCGTTCGCGTCACCACTCACAGGGTGCCGGGTAAGGTCGTTGCCATAGTAGTCAGTGTTGACCTCGGTCGCACCGCACGACCCGCTCGCGCGGCTGCCCGAGATGGCCGTCCCGCTCCAGCTCTTGTTTTCAAGCTTGCTCTTGAGGTAGCAGAAGCCGCCGTTGACCGTAAAACCGGCACAGCCGCTCGTTGCCGAGCACTTGTCGCAACAGTCGCTCGCTTGGCCGTTCGCGTCGCCACTCACGGGATACCGAGTGAGGTCGTTGCCGTAGTAGTCGGTGTTAGTCTGAATCATGCACTGGCTGCTAGAAGGTGCCGGGGCCGGGGCCGGACCGGGATCTTGGCCGATCTTGGCTGCACCTCCCGACACAAAGTAGCCCTGGTTCCAGAGACGCTGGAAGCCGTCGGGAAAGAAGAGACCGGCGTCGGGACCGGCGCTCGAGTCGCTCGACTGGCCCACGCACTGCCCGTCCGACTCGCCGGGGACCTTGAGCCACAGAAAGTAGTCGACGAGCGGGTTGCCCGTATGGTCCGTCGGCGGCGCGCCAATCCCGGCCGACCGCGCGTTGCACCACTCGTTCTGCGGCGACCCGTTAAAGTTGCGCGACGTGTCAATGATGCAGTGGAGACCGCCGGTCTGGCTCGAGTACGACTGGCAGGCTTGGACCATCTGGGTCGTGCTCTTGTAGTTGGCCGTGTTGATTGAGACACCCGAGAGCTTGCCGATTTTCTTGAGGGCCTCGATCGCAGGCCCCTGGAAGGCCCAGCCCGCGATGTCGGCGTAAATCTGCGCGTTGCTGTTGGCCGAGAGAATGCTCACGGCCGCGGCGAGATTGGCTTGGTAGCCGTACTTTTCAGCGCACTTGTCGCCATCGCCAGTCGAGAGGAGGCCAATGGCGTCCGGCTCCAAAATGTAGATGACCTTGCGGCCGCCGACTCGGTCGGCCAAAGACTTGATCCACGCCTTGTACTGGTCGGCGTTGGTGTTCTTGCCGTTGCTCGAGCTCGACGCGCAGTCCTTCTGGGGCAGACCGTAGATGATGATGACAGGCGTGTCATTGGGGCACGCGGCCATGAGCTCATTGATCGAGTCACTGCCGCAGTCGACATACCAGTTGGCGACCGGGTACTGCTTCATCGTGTTGATGGCCGGCGCAAACTGCGGGTTGGTTTTCACGGCGTCCGTGTACGACGGGGGTGCGAGGCCCTTGCAGATGGCAGACGAGACGGTCGAAACGGCAGCAGTGGCCAAGGCAAAGGCGAGACTGAGCTTCATGGTTGTCCGCGTGGTCAAATTGAAAAATGAGACTCGAGCTCGTACCGATGAACCAAGTCGCTACAGTAGTACCTCTACGGCCCGGTTGACGGTTGAAGAGAGGGATGCATCCGTCTCCGACATTGTGTTGAAGTATCCGATCGGTCTGCACATTGCACGCAGATATCATTTGCTGGAATCCTATCAACGCAGCCCATTGGATAAAACGATACGACGTAAGCCAATGAAACCGCTTGCGATCTTTGGGAAGCCAATCCACATCTCAAGCTGCATCCCCCCGCAAAACACAAAACGGGACGGTTGGCCACCAGCTGCACCTATTTGCACTCAACGCCACGACTGTACATCGACGACCTATAGCTATTTTAAGGTGCGCAGGGCATGCTCGAAGTTGCAGCTGCGTCCTATCGATGCGTGTTGCGATCCGCTTCTCAGCCGCTTGCAGAGCCGAAATACAGCACCAGAGATGAAGCTTCCAAAGAAACGCAGTGTCGACTCTCTCGGATACTCGAAGCTACCGATGAATGTGCTACGTTCGCCGATGCTGGATGCCTCGGCCAATGCGACGAGCAGACCTGCCTGCGAGCGTCACGTGGCCTAATCGTCGAAGCCAAGGGTCAAAGAACATTCCATCGACCCTTGCGTTGAACCAAATACGAGTATTTGCGGTACATGTGTAGGTGCACTGGTGACTCTATCATTCAATGCAGAGGCTCGCACGCCATGGCGACAGTCGTTCGTCCTGGACTCCTTTCCCCTAGCTCACTCCCCTTTGGCTTCAATGGGATGATGCAAGCAGAGACCCACCGCATCGCATGGCGACCTTGATACAGTGTAGGTTGCCCACTTGCCGTGCAAGAGCGTCTCCAACTTGCAAATAGATCCTAACCAGAGGCTGCTTGGTTCACTCCACCATTCCGTAGCTTGTCGTGTCGTGCACTCCTGGGTGCCGGGTCTTCTTCCTCAATGTGAAGGTTTGGGCTTGCGCGATGGATTTTGTTGCATAGGATAGATCGTGACGCCACCAACCATTTGACGTATCGAGGTGGCCAGTGGGCTGCGATCGAACGGGAAGAGAGCTCGAGATGCAGCCGCAAGGATCGTGAGAGGCAAGCGCACGCCGCTTCCATCTTTGCGGTCGTGCGTGCCAAATCTTTTGCAGTCCCCAGCGACACGAACGAATCTTCCGCGCAGCAAGCACGTTTCACGACGCCGCCGCGATTGTTACGAGTTTGACGCACGTACAAAGTGCGATGGATCCTCCGCTTAGGTTCGATTTGCCTGGATAGTCGGGGACTACCTCGCAGGACTCATAACGTTGCGAGTATCGATGAGCCATTTCTCGCAGACGGCCGAGCAGACCAGGGCGTCGAACATGGTTTTGTTGCCTACCTGAAGCATGGTGAGTGAGGTGCGTTGGCTCGTTTGCTCCGTCGGGCTGCTGACTGGTTTCAACTTGGCTTGTGTTCTGTGCCTGGACATTAATTTTTTCGACGCTTCCGCTGCTCGCGCCTGCTCGTCCCATCGCGCGGAACATCTCAACATTTCTTTCGCTTCTTCAAAATGGTTTTTGCATCGGCTGTCCAGAGAGCTCCAAGTGGCCGGCAGCACGCATACTCGTACTTATATATATGTATATGACCGTAATTCGCGTTATCTTCATAATTATACACAAAGACTTCACATACGTAGCGCTGGATGCGTGGGAGTTGGCACCAGCACTTGGTCGTTGGGAGTGAGCTGCGTACGGAGAGATCCATCCCGTGGTGGACCCCACTCGCCGAGTCATAGCTCGCGCGAGGTCGTACGCAGGCTCCTGTACTCGGACCACCCGTACTTGTTAGTTCAACCAAGCAAACGGTGTAAGTGAACCAGCTTCGATGGTGCCTCGTGCCCAGAACGGTTGCAACGACAGTCAGACTCGACGCCAAACCATTAAACGTAGTAGGAAAGGGAGTATTATTGTACAATGGCGGGCGTGAGTCGAATGGGCGGCGGGTCCTTTAATACCAGAATGTCGTCGTCGTCGATGAGCTGGACGAGGGGCACGTCGCCAAGCAGCGTGCGGTTCAGTCCTTCCGAGCGCTCCATGACGTTGGTCACATACGAGAGGTCGGTGAGGTCCGTGTGGCGCGGCGTGCCCTTGCTCACCGAGTAGCTCCGCGAGTTGCTCGCCGGGCGCGTCATCACGACGTCGGGCTCCCAATGGCCGCCGCCAAACGACGACGTTTCTGCCTTGAGAAACGAGTCGGACGCCATGCGCTTGGGCTTGGGCTTGTCGACGAGCGAGGACGTTGCGTGCGCCGACGGGATCTTTGGGAGGCCCACGAACGATGTTTCTGCCCTTAGGAACGAGTCGGACGCCATGCGCTTTGGCTCTTTTCCGACAAAGGACGACGACGACGTCGTCGACATGGGCGTCGTCGGCTTTGGCCAATTCCCGACAAACGAAGACGATGACGGCGTCGACGCAGCGGTCGGGCGACTCCAGCCGGCGCCCGCAAACGACCCGGCCTGCGGTGTGTTTTTAGTCCAGCCCATCGACGACGAGGCGGTCGAGTCGTACGGCGAGCCTGCGATCGTGTAGTGCCGACTCAGGGCGTACGAGCGATACGAGGTCGCGCACGCCGAGCAGATGCGCGCCTTGCCTTCGCCGTGAACCGCCACTTTCTGGAGCTGCCACACGCGGCTGCACTTGTTGCACACAGCTTGCGTGCACGACTGGCAGCACTCGAGCTTCTTGAAGCGGCTCGTCGCGTAGCAGAGCGCGCAGCTCTTATAGTACGAGGCTGCTTTTGGGACTTCCCAATGGCACTCGTGCTGCGTCTTGAGTGGCTGGTGCGAAAAGCGCAGCTTTTGGATCGAGTCGTAGAGCGACGAGACCGCGAGCATGCGCCGCTTGAAGAGCATCTTGCGCGCCCACGAGGCCATGCGGCCCTTGAGGTCAGCGGCGAAATGGTAGATGACGTCGAGCTCGCCGACGCGGTCGGTCTCCATGACGAGGAGGCCCGATTGGTGCAAATGGCCGCGCGCGAGCTGGAGCGTCGTGTCGGCGAGGCACGGCACGCTGTCGAGCGCGATCGACTGCTGGCACGAGACCCACGCGCGCTTGCCGGACGGAAGCAAAATCTCATCTTGGGCCTAGTTTTGAAAAAACGCGTTTTATTCCAGAAAGGCCAGCATCAAACGGCAAACCAACCTCGAGGAAGACAAAGTCACGGGCGCGGATGAGCGCGGGCAGCGGACTCGACGCTGCGGCCCACTGAATGTACGTCTGCTTGAACGGCGACTCGGGCGTGCGCTCGTGGAGCGTGTACAAGGTCATGAGGTCGAGGAGCACATCGCGCTGGTGGAGCTCGACAAACTCGACGCAGTCGTCGCGTGTCTCAAAGCGGTAGAGCTGCGCGACCTCGTCGATTGTCGTGCCGCAGATCTTGGCGACGCCACGGAACGGCGTGACGCCTGCTGTGGCACATGAGCGCGAGAACGAGGCGTGTGGAGGTCGTACCTTTATGGAGGTTGAGGCCGAGGATGTCGCCTTCAAAGAGCTGGGCGCCGTCGTGCGTGCCCATGTCGCGCCACAGCATGGAGCGGTCGTCGGGCGTGAGCACCATGCTGGCAAAGGCGTCGATCATCGCATCGCCGTCGTCGCGAAAGCCATGGAGGCGCTGCGGCGTAAGTGGCATGCAGCCAAAGAACGTGCTTGAGAGCGGGTAGCAAAGGTCGTCGGACGACGACGACGCCATGGCTTCGCAAAGTGAGATACAAGAACGAGAATGATCATCATCATTGCCGCGCACACCGTGACATGTGGGTGCCTCCGTAATGGGCCTGCTTTGGGTTGGGCGCCGGATGCAGCATTACGCGCGTGACCAATCACATCGACGGATATTTCAACCAAGTGGTCAGTCCAGCTGCGATGGCGGACGCGGTCCGCTCGAGGCAGCACGCCAGAGAGACGACAAAGACTACGCATGGGCAACGCCCCAGCAGCACCTGCTGTCCGCGAACGGGTCTGCTTAATTTTGCCAATGAAGGAGGAGCCAATCACAAGCGTTGCCGTCGTGGCCTTTGAGAGAGGGCCGTGGTGCGACTTTGGCACTTCAAGAAAAGCTTGATATGCGCTGCAGTCGGGGTGCTACTCGCGCGCGAGTGCCTGACTGGCAATGTGCCGTCAGCCATGCATCATCGCACGTCGCGCTGCCACGTACGCAGATGAGATTGCACTTTCTATCCCGCCACCGTTCGCAAATCCAAGAGGTCTAACGCCAAGAACAGGGCATCCTCTCCCTTGGAGCAGCCGTAAGCACGCCAACCAGGCACAATGATTACTTGACGACTATTCTTCGTCTTGATAATGATAGCGCGTGATTGTAGTCGGGAAGAAGCGGAAGAAGGCGCGAGGTTGAGAGGTTGCTGTGGCGCCAGAAGTAGCGGGATTCGTTGACGTGCGAACGAACATTACATGCACGGTTGATGCGCTGGAGAGTAGGATAGGGGTCATCGAATGGGCTGCACGTGATTTTTGTACGTGCATCGACAGCCACTCAATGACGCGTTCCATGACGGAGTGACCGACGCAAATCGCCCAGAAAGGTTATGGAGCAGCGTTGTTCTTCTTGCCTATTCGTTGCGAGCAAAGCAAATCGCCCAAGAAGCCTGCAGCGCAAAGAACTCGAGTCTACGCAAGCGAGTCGGCAGCACTGTACGGTTTGCCAAGCGACAGGGTACGTAGCTTGGTCGAAGGTCGTAGAAAGATCAAGACGTTGTTGCGCATGGTACCGACTCTGGCACCCTCGCGCCCTCTCGGCACGCTCAATTTCTTCCTCCATCGGTGTCAAGTTGAACGGCTTGAAACCCGCAATCGTACAGTGGTGTCCGGGCTGCCAGGAATGGGCGAGGCGGGTTAGCTCTTGTCTGACGCAACCATTTTGGGTACTAGTATGGCTGGCTTGCTCGGCGCCTAGATCCTGGATCTGGTGTGCCTCTCAATGTGGTCTTCCAGATCGCTTTGATGTACGAATAACCGAAACCTCGTTCCCTTCTGGCAATGGCCCAATGATGCGTCCAGCTCATGATGCGATGTGTACTGTTGCTGTTGGCCCCTCCGCGCCCAAGCTCGCAAAAATGACGGATGTTAACTTTCGAAGGACAAGGCGATGGCCGACGGCACGATGGGACGATCGGACGTCTTTTGAAAGTCGACCGTCTCTTCTCGTTATCCCTTTTTTTGGTAGGTTTGCTAGTTTCCACAATTTCGTAACCGTCTACTGTTGGAGCCGGGCTGTGCTGTTGAAATGAGCGGGATTGTGAGGAATAAGGTACAGTAGCGCACACCAAGGGCATATCGCGGAGAGCGTTGCGCCCCGTGTTGTATGATGGCGTCGCCTGCAGCCATTGTCGGGCGTTGGGCGTCAAGCTTCATTTCATTTCAGCACAATGCACTTGACAGTCCGACCACGCAACGTACCCATTTCATGCACTCACTGCAAGCTATCACATGCGACCTACAATGACCCGCCAAGAGCGTGGAAACGTCTCGGGAACCTTGGCGGCTCGCAACGCGAAATACCATTCGTCCATTCATTGCAGCATCTTTGGGAGTCGCCTCAAAGACTCTGCCAGCAAATAGCTGCCACAAAGTCGTGAATTTATCATTGAACGACTTTGCGCAAAGAGCCCTGCAAACCACCAAAAACCTACCACGTTGCCCTGCAACATAGGTCGTAGCGATCAAAGCCGCTCCTTTCTTCGGTACGCCGTGAACGCTTTCTCCAGCGCCATGTCGTAATGCCATCGATTGGCGCATTGCGCGCCAATTCGTTGATCGTATCATTTTACAACGTGCTTTCTGAGCGCTTCTTTTGTTTGTTATTTCTCCGTGTGTACCGCGGCCCCTGTTGTTGAAATGAGTTATTGTGAATTTCAGCGTTTGGCTATTCGAGGCACCAAAACCTCGTTTTATTAAGCTAAATCGAGGTCGGACCTGGATTAGAGCGGAGCCCAGAGAAACTACACCAAATCCGACCCGCTTTGGGCCAAACCGGGTCGGATTTGGCACCGAGGGTTTATGATTATAGCATAAACCCAACCGCTGGAGACGCAAAGTTTTATGGTGGATCTATTTTATTCGGTATCCGGACACATCCGTAATAACATAACATAAACCCAACCGCTGGAGATGCCCTGAGGGTGCGTGGTCGGGGCTCGGGATTGAGTGGGGAATGAGGTAGCGAATGGTCGGCGCGTAAAGCATGGGCGACTCGGCAAGCGAAGGCACCACGGCGCGGCGAGCTAAGTGCCGCATAAGCAATCGCGTGATAGTAGCGGCGATGATCATGAGCATCACGACTGTTGCCTTGCCATTGAAACATCCAAGGGCTCATGTGAATGAAAACCCGAGTTTCTCAATCTGAACATGAAATCCACTTCAACCGGCACCGATATCGGAAGGCCATGGACGTACATCCATGGGCCGTCGATTTTGGCTTGCGGAAAGTCCCTATGTGAAGGTGCTCACACCAGAACGCGCTGCCTTTACTGCAGTGTGAAGTGGAGAAGAGGGGCCGTCGCACGTCGGAACGACACAATCGAACGTTGCAGCAGATGTCTTTTTCCGTGCTCGACGCAAGTCCATTCCTTATCCCTCCACAGCCCGCTTTGCCCGTGGCTGGTGCCATCACACCCCATTTTCCTCTCGTCCGAGACGATACCACTTCGACTCCAAGGGCGATGCGAGCTCCAGGGGCAGCCAACCATGCAGTGCCGTGTCGAAAGTCTCGTAATGGCACAAGCACGCGATCAGGTCGCCGATCGCTCGCCGCATCGAACCAAATTACTACTTTGCTCTTTTGAATGCGTTTCATTGGCAGCTGCCCCTTGCCTGCATACACAGTCGACTCCCCGTGGGACTCGACATTGTTTCAAATGACGACGCGTGTTTACGCCGCAAGCACGGTGGCTCGATCCGCCAAGAGCAATCACGAGCCGTCCGCAAATATATATCTAGACGGAGGAATAATCCTAGTCCACAAGACGCTTACAATAATTAACAACAAGTCACAACGCGCTGTCGCGGACGTTAGACGGCTTCGAGCCATGCGAGGTCGTAGCTCTCAATCCACTGCGGCGTGAAGGCGAGGACAAAGGCGTCCATACCTTCCTTGGGCACCTCGTTTTCGATAGCCACCGATGTGACGGTCGTGCGGTGGTGGCCTCTTGCGCTCGAGTCGGACGACGAGCTGTACGGGCTCCCATGCGGCTGCTGCTGTGGCCGCGTCTTGGGCGATGATTTTTGCGGCCAAAAATGGTGGTCCGGGCACGCCGCGTAGCCCTGTGTGAAGGCGTGGCATTTTGGGAACGAGCAGCGCTTGCGGGCGCCGTGCTTGACGCAGAGCTTGCGGGCGTAGACTTGGTTTTCGCAGCCAATGACCGAGCAGAGGCGGCGGTTCTTGTGAAATGCACACTTGTGCGAGTCGGGGAGCACGGGCTCGGAGCAGTCGCGAAACACACAGCGCATCGGAAATGAAATTGAAAACTGATGCGTCTACTGGCTTGACGTGGTGCAGTAGTAGTAGCCGCGCATGTCCTTCGGATTAGTAGGTCAGCCGGCCGCGTCCCACTGTTGCCAGCTGCTCCAACCTACTCATCGTGTTCCTTGAATGTGCGGTAAGCAGACTTGTTGCATCCAAGTATAGTTGGGGATGTGCCGATTCGTTATATGACCCCCTCACGCAACACCGCGCGTTGGTTGTAGAGAGCCGTGGAGGATACTGTCTATATGAAAAAGGTAGCGTATCGTCCACCTCTTGGTGGTAAGGCAGCACCCAGAACCCAATCAAAAGCGGTGCACAGCACCTTTGCCTCTGTTCTTGAGCGATTTGGCCATCCATTCCCTCATTTTGTTCCAGCTCGTATGCTGTGTTTGTGTTCTTTTCGAATGGCGACGATGCACCGCACGGGGTTCTAGAGGCTCCGGAAAAAGCCGCGGTGCCCATCACGCCACACTGACGTGAGGGGTGCCTGCATCCATTAAGAGTGGAAGGATTCGCCAAATATGTCTGCGTGGCCTGGACACGCCGCCCGTTTTCGTTTCTAGTAGACTATTACTATGTTTCGTGAGTAGCAAATTCGATTTGCCAAGCGCAGTTGAAAGCGATGTGAGCCTGTAATGCCGGTTCCATGATTTGTTGCTCGTTCTGAAGACGCCCGTGGGACTTTGTCCGCATCGATGCCCTCCTTTCCGCTGGGCATGCACCTCTGGAAGTTGCTTCCTGCATTCGCGTAGAGTCATCCCAACGGGGGCGAACTCGTGACGCCGGCGACGCGGCGTGGGATAATACAACCCCGCGGCTTACCACGGACGCGAGTAATGTTCGATGCGACACCTGCGCAGCAAATAGCTCGATATATATCAGAAACCAGGGTTTCACTTTATTTATTTCACTGGATATTCGACTGTCTCGACGCAATTGAGTCCACTAGCACGAGGGCAATGTTCTAGTGGCGTTTAAAAATTGCAGAATTTGAGAATTTCGGACGGGGTCGACTTTGGTGCCACACGGGCCAAGCGGTCGAAGCAAGGTACCTCGCGTTATGCCAACTCAGACGGTACACCCAGACGCATACATTGTGCCATTGGGTACATCCCTCCGGCGTCGGCCGCTGGCTCGTCCCGTCTGCGCCCGTATGGCACTGGGTTATTCTTCTTTCTTGACTAACTGCAGCGCATTCTTTCTCGGGAAAGCGTCCCACGCCAAATCGAATCTTGCACTGGGTGCACCGTTACTCGCCTCGCCTTACCACCGATTGGCATTGCCATGGACTGCGCCATGATCGTCGTCGTGCCCAGTGTCATGGATAGCTCACCGGACTTTAATTTATCGCGTTTAAATGTAGTAATTGTTGGGGCATTTGATCGCCGAGCCATCGGGGTTCTGTGGCACTCGTGCTGGCCTCCTCCGACTTGGAAATCCCACGTAATTTTCACGTCGTGCAAAACGCAGCGTCGCATAGCGTCTGACAAAGCCAGAATATTATTGTCGCGCCTCGTACTCTTCTTGGCATTGAAGAGCTGCACAGACATGCAGCAGAACCCAAAGAATCCACAGTACCGAACGTAGAGGATCGATACCGAGCCCCGAAATCGCATGCACAGCGAGTTGCGCTGGGACAAAAAGAAGGGGGATGTTTCGGTTGACGAGAAGCTACCGTGATCGGTGCCCATCAACTCATCATCCAAGGGACACCTGATTCTTCGCGTGGTAAGAGCCGCGTCATGCGCTACACATTGTGGTTCCCAACGTAAACCCAGATGCACGAGACGCCGAAGTGCCAATGATACAGGACCCGTCTTGAAAGATACGCCGAGTGTGCAAGCAAGCAGTGGGATGGTCGCGTCGTCGGCGTCGCTCACTGGTCGAGTCTGAGCACGCTTACTCATTTAGAACCGCTGTGGTTGCAGTGCGCCAATGTTGCCAACGGCTCGATGACGCATTGCGCAACCTCTCGAAAGACAAGTGTGGTCGAGACGGAACAAGGCGGACTCGAACAGTACTCGAATTGCGATCCTGCCAGGTCTCGAGTCCAAATACGACGTTATGTGCAAGGACGTCGGTGTAAGAACGCAACTAGCTGGAAAGGGCAAAGTCAAGGTCGGCTGTTGCAACGCCTACGACCACGGTCCGACAAGCGCCTCGCTCATAGTGTCGAATCAACAACACATCGGAGCTGGTGCCTTCGCCTCCTTGTTGTGAGTAGCACGCTTATAATCCGTCGTCGACATTACACGAGAGCTGCAGCGTCTGGTGAGCAAACTGCTGGATCTGGGAGCGTTCCACAATCTACTAGTACGATGGTTGTTGGCGTTGGAGGCTCTGGTACAATCTCTTACGGTTTTAAACTCTGGATGCTTCAACGATTGCTAGCAAGCTAAGCTAATCCAAACGACACCGTTCGCGTCCGAAGCTCGAGCGTAACCTTGACTGCTGAGCGCCGGCGTTTAGTCGGTAGGGCTGTTGGGAGACTGTCTTTAGAGGATGTGCTGTGTCACTTTCTTTCTTGGCTAACCTCGTGTGGCGCTGCAACATCTGGACTCCTTCTTTGATAGCATCGCTCGTGCGCGACCACGCCAGCTGGTGGCAAACTACAAAGCATTGACATCCTCAGACAGCTGGATCAGCTGGATCTGTACAAGCGACTGTGCCAGTGCGAATAAGCCTCATTTTTCATTTTGCTTTGCCCATAACCATGCGCTGTGTGTTTCGCGACTGCTCCGAGCTCGTGCTCCCCAACTCGCACAAGTGTGCATTTCACAAGAACCGCCGCCTCTGCTCGGTCATTGGCTGTGAAAACCAAGTCTACGCCCGCAAGCTCTGCGTCAAGCACGGCGCCCGCAAGCGCTGCTCGTTCCCGAAATGCCGCGCCTTCACACAAGGCCATGCCGCGTGTCCCGACCACCACGTTTTGCGGTCCTCCAAGGCTTCGTCGCCGCCGGCAGCGTTTTCATACAGTCCGAGCAGCGTCGCTATGTACCACCACCACGCACCAATGGTCGCCTCGACACCATTTGCGCTCGAGGTGCGTAAAGAAAACTTCGATGCGGATGTCTTTGCGTGCACGCCGCAGTGGATTGATGCGATTGATCTTGCCTGGCTTGAAGCCATCTAACGACTCGGCTATATAATTTATTCGTACTCTGTTTAAAATTCTATACTGGAGCGTATGCAACGAAGGTCTTGCCTGGCGGCGTAGTTTGCAGCACCAATCACAAGCCGCCAACGTAGCTAGACATTGCAGCAATAAGATTCTGTGATACCGTGTTCTCCACCCGAGGACAAGCACGAGATAGGGCATCCTCGGCGGAAGGGGCGACAGCAGCCATCGATCCGCGGACATGTGTTTCACGTCACATGTTTTGTGCGAATCAAGATCACGAAGGATATGGTCGGGAGAGACGAAGTATACCTTGTATGGACTCGAGACATTGATCGCGATGACGAGAGACGGCTATATAACAATGAAATCGACCATCAAATACCATCCTTGTTGAGCGGCTCCTGCCCAGTTCAATGCTCCAGTCTACAGGAAGGTATTGCGTGGACTGCATCAGGCAAACCATGAGCTGCTGTCTTCACCATCACGGTGGCTCGAGGCGATAGATGATGACTTTTGTGCTACATTCTTGATAAAGCTTCCGAACAGCCCGATTACCTCGGACGACTTCAGTCTCACGCAAAAGACGAGTGGTTGCACTGCACTTGGCCCAGCGCTAGTTTTTCGGAGCGCTAGACTCGCTTTCCCAGACGATGTTCGCTTTTCGACCTTGGGCCGGCGTATCTCTCATTTGGATGATGTAATTCAGTGACGTGCATGAGTCCTCATGGCGCCTGTGTCTGCAGTCCCGCGGAATTTCTTTATTCGCTAACCATGGGCCTTTCTTTCGCGGACCCTCCATGTGGGCGGCTGTATCCATCTGCACGGATGTCCCGCGCGCCCAGCTGTGCGCGTGGCTATACATACCTAGATCGATCTGCAACGCATTTTCCTTTTTGCTCTTCATCGCCACAACCATGCGCTGCGTCTTTCGCGACTGCTCCGAGCCCGTGCTCTCCAACTCGGACAAGTGTGCATTTCACAAGAACCGCCGCCTCTGCTCGGTCATTGGCTGCGAAAACCAAGTCTACGCCCGCAAGCTCTGCGTCAAGCACGGCGCACGCAAGCGCTGCTCGTTCCCGAAATGCCGCGCCTACACACAAGGCCATGCCGCGTGTCCCGACCACCACGTCTGGCTCCCCCAAGGCCTCGTCACCACCGACATCGCTGCCGTACAGTCCGAGCAGCGTCGCTGGGTACTACCACCACGCTCCAATGGCTTCGTCACCATTGTACGCGCTGGAGCTTTGCAGAGAGAGCCTCGACGCCGTCGTCGTTGCCTGTACACCGCAGTGGCTTGACGCTATCGACCTCGCCTGGCTGGACGTGATTGAGCGAGCCATTTAATAGGTAGCCAAGCTGCCTCCGATGCAATAATTTATGTGTTTACCCACTCGACATTGATGACTCGTCGAATGCGCCCATGTCGAACAAAGGAATTCATGG